GTAATGTCGCAAGTGCTTGCAGCCACTCCTAAATTCAAATACCCAAATTATCACTTAACTACTTTGGTTTGTACATCTTTCAAATTTCTTTCTAGCCATAAAACATGAAGCTTGTTGATTAATTGTGCAGTTATAGAGTTAACGGTTTCGTAGTATAGTTCAACTCCAGTTATTTTCAGAGAAAACAACTGCAGTTGAACCTGTACAGTTCATTTCAGTCAATTTGTAACAAGATGCTGTTATCATTTACATCTATAACATTAACCACTTTGAACCGCTGCAGGATGAACTCAGGAGCATAACTCAATGCTGCTCAGTTCTTATCCTCATTCTGAATTAGGCCTATCCAGTGATCGCTCTTATCCTCATTCTGAATTAGGCCTATCCAGTGATCGCTCTTATCCTCATTCTGAATTAGGCCTTTCCAGTGATCGCTCTTATCCTCATTCTGAATTAGGCCTTTCCAGTGATCGCTCTTATCCTCATTCTGAATTAGGCCTATCCAGTGATCGCGTGCGGTTAAAGGGTGTTAACTGCAGTGGCGTAATATATAACTAGGAATAAGTTTCCGGGGGGGACACTCGGGAGTGCACACATATTTTCAAGGGGGCACCACAAGAAAATAAGCTGCATTACAATAGACATTATTCAAAGATTTCAAATGGGGGGGGGCACCCAGGAGGTATGGGCATCGGCTGGGGGAGGGCACTTTTCCTCATGGCCCACCCCCGTAGTTATGCCACTGGTTAAAGGGCGTAGGCTAATTGGAAAGCATTTTGAAAATCCAATTTACTAGAATAAACAAAAACATTAGTCTAACTTAATGCAGCCTATATATAGATTATCCCTCAACGCATCATCAGATTCAAATGAAATGTTCAGTTTGGAAAATGTAACTTCCCATCACCAACGTAGCTCTTCCAACCGAGCGGGTACTTCTGCTCAACACGGGGTAGGATTTTATGCCTATTTTTTTGGGGGGGGGGTGTTTGTTTGTTTGTTTTCTTCTTTCTTTTCCAGTAAAGTATAAATAGGGACCTACTGAAAGCCAGAAGTGTGAACTTACACGAACCGCTGTCCATGTTCGTGGAAAGTGCATAGGTCAAAATGTGACGAATAAGTCCATTTTGTATGCCTGATATGTGGTAAAATGTGGTCAAGCAGATGTGCGGAAAGTGCCGTTGGAAGAATCGACTTTGTGGCATCACCTCTGACGTGACTCTAGAGGGGCACCAGGCAAAGTATGGACGGAATCGCACAATGATGCCCTGCCTGTAGAATCGGCGGCGCCAACTTGAATATACTAAGTCTTCTGGATGGAAGCCGCTCTCGATGTTGAGTCAAATGGATTTAGGATGTGATGATAAAGCCATCTCTTTTTTCACAAGTTGATATTTATATTAATAATAATAGCACAAAGAACACATTTTTCATTTCATGAAACTAAAATTATGAACCCAATTCTGTTTTATTTCTTTCGTTTCGGGGACATCGCAAACAGACTGAGCAAGGGTGAATGAAACCTAATACTTTCGAATTACCGTCTTCTATGCATTCAACATGTTCTTAAACCTTCAACTCGTTACACGGCATCATCATTCCTTCTGATCTTGTATTGGTAACAGGAAAAGTGTTCAGTCGTTCTTTATTTGCAGAGATTACAAGGGTGGATCCAGAACCAAAATGGGGGGGGGATTTTTATGTAACCTTTTGCTGCCTTTCTGAGAGGGGAGGTTATATTGGGGAATTTTTATAGGCTTCGCGGGAGAGGGAATAGAAATACCCCTTTTTCTCATAATTTCAAAATGAATTCTTTTGGGAAGCCATGGTCCCCAACGCCCGCGGCAATCTTCCATTATCAGCGCACACATTGTATGTACATTTGCGACGCTCATAACACTTTTCCAAGGTTGCTGCTTGCATTAATTATGTATGTTGTGGAGTCCTCATGGGATTCCAATAAACTGAGATCAAACCATCCATAGACCAAGTGACCACTGCATAAGGCCAACCCCAATTATATAGGTGATTGGTTTGGTCTCTGGGCAAGTTAACTTTGCCTGATATCAGCAAACTGAATTTGTCTTGTTTCTTGACTGGCACATAAAATGTTAAAGAAAACTACAATAACATACACAAGCATATCATAAGTTCCCACCATAACACAATGCTAATAATAATATCGTCCTGTATACTTTCAATCCACCGAACACCAGGAGTAAAATATAAAAGCCAATCATAAACTTTTCGGTTAAGGCTTCATCCTCAAAAGAAATTCAAAATTCTCAAATTGATTTAAAAGAAAGACAACTCACCAAATCCAGCAATCATAAACTGAGGTGAAGGATGAAAAGCATAAAATCTATTCTGTACGCTCATATACATGCATGATCAATTTCCAAGAATATTCGTGCAAGACAATGCTTTCTCCAAAATATTTCTGCATCTAGCACTGACAAGGGAGTTATATTTATTTATCTGTACGTACGTTGCCTTGATTATTTTGTTTAAATATATTGCGACTCTAATTGTACTTTGCCATCCACCGGCCTGGGATTACGTGAGCTATGAAAAAGTAAAAAGAGACAGAATTTATGGTCCATGATCAACCTACGATCAAATTCGCCTGTTAGGGACAGGGCAAGTTTTGGAAGTCGCTTTGGGTAGATTTTGTTTCGACCCATAACCCGGGGCACTATACGGTTTTTGCCGCTAATGGCATGGCTACGCAATTGTGACATCTGAAAATCCGAGGAAAATTCTTAAAAAGTTTGACTACAGCTCGAGCGCGGGCACGCTGAAGCATGAAGTATGTAGGGACAAGGTGCATGCATTACAATTCAAACACTAGTTCCCTTGGCTGAATGTGCTCTGAAGTTAAAAAGCTCCACTCAGGAATTTGGGCGTGGATTTTTGCTGGCATCAAGGTTCACAATGATAGGGAGATGATCACAACTTATGAGAAGGTTCCTGGCTTTTTGCTCTTGGTTTGCAATCTCTAACGACCAACTTTAGATTCCCTTGTTTCTCGAGCTCCCGAAGCTTGGTGTACTCCTTGCCAAAATCGTGCCCCCTTTTGAGGGAAAAATTATATTTCACCTCGTCGAAATAATGGTACCTGATATCTCGGCCCTCTAGGTCTTTGTAGAACGGATAGAAGCCGAAGAGGGTGATGTTGGAGCAGAACGTCCGAGCGACTGCGTACATGTCTAAACCGAGCGTGGCTGTTAGCCGTATACCCATAGACCTACACGGGAAAAGCAATGGAAAAGGAATGTTATCACCTCATGTAGTCGGCACGAACATCATATGCATATAACCTGAAAACTAACTGTCGCAGTTTCTTTAGTTATGAAAAGCTGGGGTGCAATATCGAACTTGAAAGTTCGCTCGCTGGACACTTCCAGCGATTGCAGTTTCTCCTTGAGCTTAAGTTGTTTCCATTAATTACCTTTCCACGTGGATAGGCGTCCAGCTGAATGCAAATCGAATACCAGAAAATCCAGTCTTCCTTATTTCATCGATTATAGATTGATACCTTCTTCCAGACGCATATATGCCCCCTCTTTGAAACAGTTGTTTCGGATACCACAGAATCGATTCCTTTAAGATTCGAATGTGGTCGAGAAATCTCATTTTGTTTTCATCATTTATTTTGCTTCCCATGGCATTGCCGTACAAAGTCATCAAGGCTAGGTTGAAAGCATTCAAATTTGCCTTCCTTCCAACATCAACCTCGAAGCCCTTAATCAGCCCCATATTGGCGCGAATGACAAAGTCGTGCGAGTCTATGAAATCCCCGCAGCTGCTGTTGTTTAAGATGCCACTGTTACCGACCACAGCGCAGCTGCCCTGCCGTGGGATGAGCTCTACGCCGGGGAAGTGTTCCTCCAAGCTGCACCACTCTACCTCAAGCACTCCAGTCTGTCGAGTGTTGTTCTTCCATGGTAGACTGACAACAGGATTGTAGTTTTGCAAATCAAAAGTCATATTTTTCGTCGGAACACCGTCCTTGTAGACGAAGATGGCAAGATCCAATGGAACGCAGACACCGCCCGAAGAACTAGGAAAAAACACAGGAAATCATATATAATGACGCCTTTCCCTACACTGTTAAAACATACTGTAAAATAACAGGTTTTCTTTGCCTTAAAATTACAATCATTTCCAGTATTTCTCGTTTTACGCCCTTTTATTTGTAACTTTACCCACTGCTGACCGTTAATAAACAGAACGCCGTATATTTACTTATTTATTGACGCAACAGCCGTAAATTTACGGTACTTGTAAAATTTACCTGAACTGGTCCCGTTAAAGTATAGTTTTGTGCTTTGACCCTGTAAAAACACGTCTATTTGTTAACCTTTTTTCAACCGATTACAGTATTTTTCATTGGGGTACATGGATTTGTTGAATAAATATCATCATTAAAACCGCACTAAAACGGTTTGATAGTGTTCTAATTTATTTGTGCTCTGTTTTATTTAGTTTGGTTTTTGCTGTCCCATTCTGGTCCGGCATACCAGTGTAAAAATTACATTCAAGGGCTCAGTAACTAATTCATTTTACAGGATTTCTTATTAAAAAATTGCAATAGCTCAATGACTTTATTAAACTTTTCAGCTGTACGTTTTATTTTTTTAATGATACTGTCTGTGCAGACCCTTGGAAGGCCCATCAATACAGAGAGACTGCCTGGGAATCCGTGTTTGGTTGCTTATGGTATGATAAAATAATTTACTGTGATTTTTAATAGTTTCAAAATGCAAGTGTTAAATTGTGTAGCCAATATTTAACTGAGGGTGCAAATTTCCCAATGACTTTAAAGTTATTTTTGAAAAAGGGAATTTCACTTAGAACTTGACCTACAGGTAAACCTTCAGCATTATTGTACCTGTACTAAATGAGCATTTCAGCCTCAATTTTCAAACCCATTTTCAAAAGAAGTGGAACAAAAAGTATGCTGATTAAAAAATTTGCCAAAGAATAGTGGCATCACAATTGCATTTCCTGATGTTTAACCTCTGGTAAAGGGTCCAGTTAAGGTAATATATGTGTTTGCATTTCGTACTCATAGTCAAAATGTAGGAAAATTGCTATGGCTCGTTAAAACTCAAAGAGTTTTAAACACCTTATTTTTTAAATGGCTACAAAAAAATAATTACATACGATGAGGTCGATTTATTTTAATGATCATCCTGGCTTGCAGTAATAACCCAAACTTGGAAAAAACTTAAACAACCACATGTATTAACTTGACAATCTAAACAACTTTGGTGTTTACTTTTTTGAATACGCACTGTATTCATATCTACAATGCACACAGTAATAGCAAATGCAGAAATGCCGAACAAGACTCTAACAAGTGTCTGTCGATGAGTGCTGCTTACGTTGTTGATTTTTGTAATTATCTACATACATATCTGTATTATTACCACAGGACAGCCACTCTGTGCTTCAAGGTTTACTCTTGCTTTTGGTAAGGTGTTGGCAACTGACTTGACAAATCCTCTATCAGCAGTGTGCATGTGATTCTCCTCTTACTATGCATTCAACCTGAAGTATCCACAGAAAGCAGAAGGAGCCCTCGAGTTCATTCAGAGGTTAGTCTAATGTTCTTGCCATGTGGCTTTTCAGAGAACTGTTGACTTAAAATGTTACCAGCTTTATACCAGGTACATGTACAAGAATATTTGTCGAAATAATTACTTTCCTTGCATTTGGCTTTTACCTTTAAACTCCAATAAATGTATGTGGGCAGAAAGGTAAATTTTAAGGTGCTGTTAAACCCCTTTGACCAAAGACTGTTGCTCATCAGTTCAGGGATGTAGCACAACAGTTTGCAACTATTGTGCAAGGAACTCCTTGTGGTAAAATGCCGTAGAATACTATCTACAGATAATCAACCCCTTCATAACAGAATTTCAATTTTCATGTTCGACCCAAACATGAGAACAGCCTTGAATCATCAGCATTTAAGCAGAAAGTGTACAGCAGCCCATTCATGTGGATGCCCATTCGCACTTGCTGTAGCACCTAACGAAAACTCCCACGGGAGTGCTGGGGTGCAATTTGGCCTGCATGAATGGGTTAATATAGACTTATTCTCCGACGGGGCCTTCAAGGGGGATTTGTTACAGGCATTTCTTTTTTAAAATTAACTGGCCAGCTTTGGATGAAAACCTGAGCTGGTAAACGTGTGTGACTGTTGCGAAATGTATTATAATTGCAATATCTAGCACATTGAATATACCGCTGTTCTACTGTTTACATTACATGTTTTTTTATTTCTGTAGGTGCTTCGTTGGCCTAAATCCCGCATCCGGAACCAAAATGGGAAGAAAGAAATCTTTGGTGCATCCAGGTGTGTTGATACTTGCCAACTCGATGAAGAACTTGGAGAACGATTGGGATTTGTGAGCACCTATTTTGTAGCATTGCCACCACCGGTACCTTTGCCTTGTTTCTGCTGTTTGATTATAGTAGATTCTTAGGTCACAAGTGCATGAACCTATACTTAATCATTGGGGATAATTTTTTTATTTTATTCCTAATGGTTGTTTTCCAACGAAATAGAAAAAAAATGTGTAGTTGGTTAGTAAGGATTATCTTAGCATTTAGCCAAAATGCAGCTGATTTTTGCATTCTGCATTCTGGCACTTTCAAGCTCATCAACTCCAATAAGTGACACCT